GCTATAAGTGTTTAACTCAATATGGTACAAGATAACCCTTGAAATGAGGTGTGAAGAAGCTTGTCCTTGGATCAAACCGAGTTAAATATCTTTGGCAAGTGTTCTAGATTGGACCAAATTTGAGAAAATAATCCTCACCCCATTGATTGACATTGATAATCTTAACCTATCTAAAATTTAAATCTTTGTGGTCATTTATGATAAAGGGGAGAGAAACAAAGATATAAGTGATAGGGGGAGAAGTAATCACGAAGGGGGAGAACTTTGACATAGGGGGAGAAATATGACAAAGTAAGGTGATCAATTAAAATTTGAGCACATAAACTTGATTGATGCATTTAAATGTGCATTTCATGTGTTTGCTTGCATGACACAAGTTTTAAAATTCAATATACATGCTTGTGTGGTGTATGCTAGTTGTAGGTTTGAATGATGAAATGCAAAACTAGCATTTATTTTGTGAAGACTAGACCCTTGCTTCTAATGATGATCTCACAGGGTATTCTAGTTTTTGTGATTGTCTAGTTACTAAAGGTGCTAAGGATGGTATATTTGGTGCACTCTAATTTGTATCACGCTTCAAAGGTCCATCTCTCATAGCTTAGCATCATTTGGTAGACATTACTGTCCCACAACTCAAATCCATGCATATGTGCAAGCTTCAATCTAAACTCTTAGCACATATGTTGGGGGAGCTAATGCTACCAATTGGGGTTCATGAAACTTGTCCATATCCTTTTACACATGGTAAATATGCTTGGGCAAGCAACATGAATTCAATTGAATTTTAATTTGTATCTTTATGAAAGGGTTGTCATCAATTACCAAAAAAGGAGAGATTGAAAGCTCTAGTTTGGTTTTGGTGAATTGATGAAACCCTAAGTGCTAACCTAGTTTATCAAAGTGATTATGAGATAGGTGGCATATTTCAAGAGGTGAAGCAAATGGTGATGATCATGATGATGGTGTGGTGACCATGGTGATCAAGTGTTTGGCTTAGAAAAGAAGAAAGAGAAAAACAAAAACTCAAGGCAAATGTGATATCCATAGGAGCATTTTGGTTTGCTGATCGAGACACTTAGCGAATGTGATCATATTTAGGATTGATATCCGTACTATTAAGAGGGGGTGAAACTCATATCGAAATGCGGTTATCAAAGTGCCACTAGATGCTCTAACTCATTGCATATGCATTTAGGATCTAGTGGAGTGCTAACACCCTTGAAAATGTCTGTGAAAATATGCTAACACACGTGCTCAAGGTGATACACTTGGTGGTTGGCACATTTGAGCAAGGGTGGAGAAGTTGGTGAAGTGAAGGAGGTGTTTGTCATTGGAAAACAGTGACCGGACGCTGCTCTCGTAGCGACCGGACTCTGTGCCTGCGTCCGGTCAGTGTTGGGCAGTGATGGCCTGGTCCTTGTGAACGATCGAACGCTGAACAGTGATTGTGACTGGACATGTAGGGCCTGCGTCCGGTCAGGCTGTGATGTACGCAGACGCAAGCATCAGAGCGAGGCAGAGGTGACCGGACTCACCGGCGTGTCCGGTCATGCATGACCTAACGTGTCCGGTCGAGAAAAATTGGCTCTAGATGCTTACTGGAAGTGACCTGACGCGGTGAAGCCGAGTGGAGCAGCACGTCCGATCATGCTGTGGCCTTGCGCACGCGTGTGGGGTTCGATGCTGATCGGCGCGTCTGGTCTTGACACTGACGCGTCCGATCATTACTTAACCACGCATGATCGACTTCGAACGAGCAACGTTGAACGAGGACAACATGTGGCAGCATCACGGTGACCGGACTCCACTATGCTGCGTCCGGTCATTATGAAGAGGCGCGTCCGGTCGATGCGCAGTCTGCCCCGTGAAGGGCATAATGACTCCATTTTGTGGGAGGCTCCTATTTAAGCCCTATGGCCGGCTCAAGCTCACTCTCTTGGCCATTTGCATTGACATAGCAACCTTGTGAGCTTAACCAAAGCCCTCCCACTCATCTCCATCATTGATTCATCATCTTTGTGAGATTGGGAGAGAATCCAAGTGCATTGCTTGAGTGATTGCATCTAGAGGCACTTGGTGTTCGTGTTTCGCTACGGGATTCGCTTGTTTCTCTTGGTGGTTGACTAAAAAATCCATGTCATGACCCGTAAGCTATCTGGAAACAAATGTATAACTAAATCAACATGTAGAAGTGTGAATATTTTTTGCAAGATGAAGGGTGGGCCTGGTGCAAGCGGTAGAGTCTTACTGCCTGTGACCGGAAGGTCCCGGGTTCGAGTCGCGGTCTCTTCGCATTGCACAGACGAGGGTAAGGGTTGCCACTAACACCCTTCCCCAGACCCCGCACAGAGCGAAAGCTCTCTGCACTGGGTACGCCCTTTAAATATAGTAAGTGCAGACATAACATGTAAAAATACAGTGAACCATTAGTTCGTTTAATAGTACACAATTTGAAAACAATTTGACTATACAATTCCTAGCCTGCTAAAAAACAGGATAAATTGAGAGGTGCACTAAGATTGGCCCCGGCACTGCTCATTGAATGGCTGTTGCTGAAGAATGTGTGGCCCATCTGCAAGAACGCTGCACTGAAGACCATTGAAAACAAAGGCTATTCAGAGACGCCCATGTTCTATGTCCCATCGATTGCAAGATTATTTACCAACACATACTGAAGTGTTGAAACTAAACAAAGGCTATTCAGAGACGCCCATGTTCTATTTCCATTCACAACAATTGAAAGATTATTTACCGACTCAACAGGCCCATTATTATGTTGTTTGGGATGCGGAAAAAGTCGGCTTCACCTGCAGGTTGCAGTTGGCAAAAAGCAGCAACGTTCCCTGTAAACTGATGTTGCAGTAAGTAATCTCTGGAATATGTTTCCCTGCATATAACCAAATATTTATATTTATTACGAATGGTATAATGGATGTCGTTGGATTAAAACTGTCGGACAACTGTCAGGATTAAAACTGCCGGACAGCTTGCAGGAAGTACATAAGTACATTTAACTTAGGCTGGGTACTATGAGAAGGCTAGAAAATCTGCTAGCGCATTCCATCTTGTTTCCTAATCCTATTTGCATTTGCTATTCAAATGTGAGCAGCAAAAGGGCTAGGAACATTGTGGCCATATAGATTACAACATACAAATGTAAGGGAACAGCAAGCTTCTTCTTCTTTTTGATAGGAAACAGCGAGCTTCTTAGTAATGGATACATAGCGTGCTGTATGACCCTCAGAAATATGAGAGAAGAACATACCTTTTACCCTTGACTGGAAGAATTGTAGCCGTAAGATTGCAGGAAGCAGGAGGTGGCAGTTGCAGGCTTGCAGCACGCGGGAGCAGTGCAGGCGAGAGGCAGGGCAGCCTGCGGCGCCTTGTGCCTGGTGCTCGACTGCTCGGACGCGCCAGCGCGATGCCTAAAGCGTTGCTCCCGTCGCTTTTCCACGGCGCGTGGGTCACGCTCAGGGCCGGTCCTGAGTTTATTTGGAGCCAAAACAAAACTAAAAGATTGGGCCTTTTTATATAAACATGATAATATTACTAGTAGTACTCATTGCTAGTATATACACATATATGAAATGTTACTAATAAACGGTTAACTGAATGAAAAATAATATTCATATGAAATAATTTGTATATATATATTAAATTACCTCAAATCTCTAACATTCCTCGACGCGAAGTTATCGATGATGGTGTCAATATCAATCTCATTCAACAATCGCTTCTCAATGCATAATATTGTCAATTCATTTAACCTCTCTTGTGATATTGTAGATCTCAAATAGTTCTTCAACGATTTTAGATTTGAGGAGCTTTTTTCAGTTGATGTCATAGTCACTGGCATAGTAAACAAGATGTGATAAGCAATAATGGAAGTACTAGGATAACAACCACCTTATGTAACAAACTCAAAAATCTCCAAAGCTGTTATTTGTCTATCTGACAAAGCGGATTGCATAACCCTTAGCTCATAAATTAGATCATTTAAATTAATGTCAGACAAGCTATTTAGAGAAACAATTATTAATTGCAGTTTTATAAAATAGAGAATTGGACAGATAAGAGATCACGATCACGTACCTGATTATTGCTAGCTTACTGCCACCTGCAACCTGCCTGATGGTGATAGAATTGGACGAGACAAGAGATCACGTCACGTCTTCGGATTGTGGTGCGCAGCTGCACGGAGGTGCCGGCGAGCGGCGACTCGCTGGGTAGGCCCCTGTCGTCGCTAGGACGCTCGAAGCTGGCTCACAGAGAAAGGAAGCGCAGAAATCGCGGAAGTCCAACTTCGAACTCGAAGAAGAGGAAAGGAAGCCGCAACGTCGCGACTCACGCGGTGAATGCGTGATCACCGGTGTTTGCCGTATGTTTGGGCTTGTGCTGAGTACTAGTACTGTGTGTATACCTGGGGAGGGGCCCATTGGCTCAGTGGACCTGGGACGGTTGTCCCTCCCGCCCCGCCCCTAGGGCCGGCCCTGGTCACGCTCCTTGTCTCTCACTGTGGCGGTCCGGAGGCCCCAGCACAGCGACAACGCAGCCATGGCGGGGCGCAGTGAGGCGAGGTGGCACCGCCCCCGCCACGGCGGGCAGACTCGCCTCGGCGCGGCAGCGCGGTGGGCTAGGACCCCGGGCATGTCATGGCGTCCGTTAGGCGGAGTCACCGGCTCGACTTCTGGGCCAGCGGCTTCCGTTAGGTGGCCGTCTGAGGCTCTAGCGTCAACTATGCCGTGGAGGTTGCGTTAATTAAGAATTTTATCTGCCAATTTTTTGGTCCCCGACGCCGGATGTGGCTATCTCCACGGCGTGTGCGCGGCCGGCCCCCGGGCGCACATGACTCTGTCGACGTGAGCTCGGTCCCGCCGCGCCGGCAGCCTGACCTCGCCTTTGCCACCACCGTTGGCGGGGGACACGCACGCCGGTGTATTCGCCGCGCCAATGGACTCTGGCCGGTGTCTCTCTTCGCCGCCGCCGTGCCGGGACCCATGGCTGGTCGCACCCACGCCTTGGCCAGGAGCCGCCGCGTCGAGGGCCCGTCGCCAGATCCCTGCCCTGTCGTGTCGAGGGCCAGTCGCCAGTGCCAGTTGGTGACCGCGATTCTAGCACGCTCCGGTGGCGCGGCAAGCGGAGGGTGGATTGGAGATGGGGAGGGCGCGGAGCAGGCGGAGGGGACGAGCATCGGGCCACGAACCTTCGTGATCTATGGGGTAAATGATAAAGCGGGTAGAAGATCCAAACCGATCCACATTGGACGGACCAGATCTTATGTTCGCCTGATCTAACGGGTATCGTGCTAACGGGTGATGTGGCCCTATCCACTAGCCCGCTTTTGGTTGCACGATTCATAGATAGAGATGGATCCAAACGCAACCTTATTCAAGTGGAGCAGTGTTAACCCAGTGTAGGTGCTGGGCTGGCCGAAGCGGTCGATGGGCTGGAAAGGGTCTGTTTACATTTTTTGGGGTTTGGCCCAGTGATAATTAGCAATAAGCCCAGAAGACCATAACCCTTTGTGTTGGTTCTCAGCGTTCTAAGCACTTCTTCTCCACGGCGCCGTCCAGGACGCTCGACGGGCCACCGCTCGCCGGTAGGTTAAGGTGGTGACTGCTCGCCGGGAGCCTGGGCGGCCTCCCCACCACGCCTTCAGGTTGGGTCTGGGTCCGCCCCTTCTCTTCCTAGCGCCGCGGCAGCGGTGAGGAAGGAACGCGCGGTCCTCTTTCTCCTCCTGGCGTTACTCTGTACACTGTACTGGCCGGCGCAGGGGCAGGAGTGGGACGGGACCCGTCAATTTCTTCCTCACCTGGTAAGGAGCCTAATCTCGCTTGGTTGCTTGGATGGATGGTGCGTCCTGTTCCGCGGGATCCCCTGCTCAAATACAAACCGTCTATATTGCGATCAGGAGGCTGCGTTGCGTTGCTTTTATGGGTACTAGAACTTGCAAATTCTGGTTTGCGAACAGGAAGCTGCGTTGCGTTGCGTTTATGGCTACTAATAGAAGTTAGTAAATTCTGGTTTGCCGGAAAACGGATCTATTAGGTTGTCGAACTGGGAAGTGAGAGAACAAAGTTTACAACATACTAGCGACATTTTAGCATGACATCCGGCCCTGATGTTACGAGGATCCCCTTTTACCACTAATGATATGAAGCATATGTCGTTTCTATGCCGGTGGTACATACGTTAAAAACTTCCATTCTATCTGTTTGTCTACCTTCTGTTATGGATTCCATTTCAGAAGAAAACAAGGCTAGTGGTTAGGGACTGAACATTTCATTTTCAGGATAGTTAACGTTGAAAGGGGACACCTGCACTTGTTTCCTTGAAAATTGAAATCCGAGGGAGACCAGACCACACCATACAGGGGTGTTAATGGTGAAAGCACAATCTCTTAATCCCCTAAGCCATAAGTTTGCCACTAGTATCAGCAGCTTATATCCTTTGGCTAGCTTGTACTGTGAAAAGCATCAACGCATCATCACTCACTGGGCATCTTTTTATCTATTTCCCTAATACTTTCTTTGTCTGGTCACTTCACCTAATAACTCGTGTACATGAAAGATAAGCTGCGGATTTGTTGAGATAATCTGTGCCGTAAGAAGAACCCGCAATTCCTGATATTTAAAAAAAAAATCAAATATAGATAATGGCTGTATGAATCTTACATCTTGTACTGTTACTTTTCTGCCATTTCAGATCTGAGGTGTTAGTCAGTTGATATTAGAACAGAGTAGTCTGTGCTTTGGACTGGATTTGGATTAATCAAGGGGTGAACTGGGCTGGATTGGATTTGGATTAATCAAGGGTTCCTTTTCCACCATTTTAGATCATCATGGAAGCAATAGAAGATGAAGCACCAGATGAGGTAATGAAACGTAACATATTGGAGCGACCAAATGATATTTCGTATTATGGTAATATATATAACTTTAGTTCTCAACTCTTTTGTACAACAGATGGTTGATAAAGCTGGGCAAACTTTGATCGTTCCTGAAGTTGGGATGGCTTTCAAATCAGAGGACCAAGCTTATGAGATGTACAATACCTATGCCGGTAAGGTTGGGTTCAGTGTTAGAAAGAGCCATACAAAGCGCCGAGTAGATGGTTCTATTTCTCAGAAATATATAGTTTGCAGTAACCAAGGATATCGAGAAAGTGAGTCATCACAGGACACTAAAAGAGCAGGTTGCAATGCCCGTATTCATCGAGAAACTGAGTCATCACAGGACGCTAAAAGAACAGGTTGCAATGCCCGTATTCAGTTTAGTGTCAACAGAGAGGGGATATGGAGAGTACAAAAGGTTGTACTTGATCACAATCATGATTTTGCAAGTCCAAATAAGTCGCACAAACTAAGGTCCCAACGACGTGTTATAGAAGCGGACAAGAGACTAATTAGTCAGATACGGGAAGCCGGGATGAAGCCAGCCCAGGTGTATGAGTTCATGAAGGAGTTTTACGGAGGAGCTGACAAAATGCCATTCCCAAGGATGGGTTGCAATAATGAGATTGGTTGGCAGCGCAAGAAGTACTTAGAACCCAATGACGCGCAAACACTGTTAGAGTACTTGAAGAATAAGCAGATAGAGGACCCTACCTTTTTTTATGCCATTCAAGTAGATGAGGTAGATGGTCAAATAGCTAATTTCTTTTGGGCTGATAGTCAGTCTATTATGGATTACGCGTGCTTTGGTGATGTTGTGTCATTTGACACCACGTTTCAGACTGATAAGCTTGAAATGCCCTTTGCTCCGCTAATTGGAACCAACCATCACATGCAGATAATAATTTTTGGGGCTGCACTAATATTCAATGAGAGTGTTGAGTCATTTGTTTGGCTCTTTGAAACCTTTCTAACAGCAATGTCAGGCAAGCATCCAAGCACAATTTTCACTGATCAGGATGCGACCATGGCAGGAGCAATAGCTTATGTATTCCGAAATACAAGCCATCGGCTTTGTTTGTGGCAAATCTGTCTTAATGCTGCTAAACATCTCGGGCATGTAATTCAGAAGCATTCTGAGAAGTTTGTACATGATTTTAAGAAATGTGTCTATGAAGATAGATCAGAGACTTTGTTCATCAAGATGTGGCATGATTTGGTGACTGAATATAATCTCGAGGACAACCAATGGATGGCAGACCTATATAATTTGAGGAAAAAGTGGGCTGCTGTGTACAACGACTCTTTTACAGCCGATATGACCTTGACTCATAGGAGCGAAGGTATGAAAAATGTTTTCAAGAAAAAATTTCGTAGGAAACTCTCTTTTTCGGAATTCCTTGTGGAATATGAGAAGGTTTCTGCTAGTCTTCGTGAAAATGAGTTAGATGCGGATTTTAATTCATGTCGAAAGAACCCAGTTATTTACATCCCGAATCTACCTCTGTTGAAGACTGCAGCAGAATCATATACGAGGAGGGTGTATTCAGAGTTTGAGGAAGAATTTAAACAACAATTTTCATTCTCTTGTAAACTGTTACAAGCTGATGGGTCCAACTTGACATATATGGTTATGCATATGCAATCTGTTCATGGAGCAACGGTTGTATTCAACAAGGAAAATATGACCATTACATGTTCCTGCAGGAAGTATGAATCCATAGGTACGTAAACACATTTTAAATTACAATGTAGTTTCTAATACAATATGATGAAAAGTGTCATCCTTATCTTATAGGTATATTGTGCATGCATGCTCTGAAAGTCTTCAATGCGAATGATGTTTTCATTTTGCCATCGCAATACATTCTGAACAGATGGACAAAATATGCAAAAAGAGGATTTTATATTGAGAAAGAAGGAACTGAGACGGAAGATTTGAAAATGCGTGCTGCACGTATCTCAAGAAAGGTGGCATCCATCTCATTGAAGTGTTCACTGTCAAAAGATCTTCTTGATTATTTGGAGAAAGCCATAAATAAGCTGGACTTGGAAGCAGATAATTCTCTAAGCAAGATTGAAGAAAAATCCAATGAGGGTCCGTCTGTTTAGTAGCCTGGCTGTGTTGCTGAGTAATGTCTCCAGGAAGCACAAATCAGTGAGATGATATCTTTTTTAGGTCCATGTACAATTGTGATTATTGAACCATCTTAATAGACGCTAAAGAACCATTTCTTTTATCAGAGAAACATTTAAAGTAACCAGAGAGAAAAAACACTTTTTTTAACACAACCATCACATTCCATATTTAAAAAACATCCCATGTCCCACACTCCGTCCCTGAATTAACCTTCTTAATTTTCTGAAATCATGATATGCACCAATTTTCAGAATGTCCTAACAGTTTATTTAGTGAAATGGGTCATACCTCCTGGCATGTAGCCCTCGAGCACATCACCTCACCCCCATGACAAGGAACTTGGTTACCACGAACAAAGCTCCCTCTCCTCTCATCCATAGTTAGTTTTTTTTTAATATTCCTTTCTCCTTGTGAGTCTTCTAGATCAGATGTATTCTCAAATTGTTGTTGTTGCATATCTGGTTGAGAAAATTGCATAATTCTAGCTGACTAGTAGCATATTCCTAAGAGTAAAACATGGATTTTTCGTCACAGTAACATAGGCTTTCACATGCTGGTACGCTGAACATGCGCATGTGCACAGGTAACCTGTAAGAGTTTAGTTGCTGCTGGTGATAGTAGAATGGGTGCATGTGCAGACTTTTGTTATTACGTTTTCATTTTTTTTCCAGTAGTAGTGAATGGTCCTATCCACCTTAACTAAGTTGTGTGATGGATTTATGTTTCAGGAAACTAATGCTGTGGTCAAATTTGACCCCGTAGGCTCTGAAACCAATAGACATCACTGCATGTGTAACTGTAAGAAATGTTTCATTATTCTCAGCTCTGTGATTGTTTTTTATCGTCCCATATCATCCATGTGCAACTGTAAGAATTTTGGATAGACAACTGCAGAAGTAATGCCAAATGTAAACAACATATATGTTTAGATCTTCATGGATGAAACGAGCCTGAATTTCTGACAAAACATTATATATTCATAGGTCTCTTTATTTTTGTTTTAGTTTCATGTGCACAGCTAGCAAGAAAAATATTGTAGGATTTCATCATAATGGTGTAAAGATTTTATCATGATGAATGTATTGTAGGATTTGGTTACCACTGAAAACTTGACAGCAGTAGTTTCTGCTATTAACGTGACAATGGCAAACATGATCATTTGCTTCAAAAAGCGATGGCTAATTGTATTGATGAATAAATCTCCTATTAACATGTTTTCTCAGTATTGTTGGGTTATAGACTTGCAGTGTCAATATGTTCCAATTGGCTGGCTGGTTGGCTACTTGGCTGCGTCATGGTTGGGGTTCTCTGGTCTTTGTTCTGATCAGGTATTCTTCTGTTGTTTGTAGAACAAAAGGGGTGCAGGCACCCTTGCTGAGGGAGCAAGAACAACTACCGGGCATCGGCACTGTAGTTTCACGTGGTTATTAGGCTCGGAATTGCATGTGAGGATTCACAATCTGCTAAATCTTCAGAACCATTGGTGAGCCGAGACCATTGTAAAATTATCTAAGTTGGCACACACCAACAGTATCCTTGGCCGAATGATTTGGTTGTAAACCTTGAGGGCACAACAACAGCCAGGTATAGGTGAGCCGAATGATTTGGTTGTAAACCTGGAGGGCACAACAACAGCCAGGTATAGGTGAGCAGAGGGCAAGGGCTGAATGATGCTGGTCCTTGTGAGCTATGATCTGATCTTTGAGTTCTGAATCAGTCCAAAGTTTTTTTTTTAAATCTGGAGAACCATGTCACTGAGTAATTTTGGTTGCCAAATTTTTATGATGTCCACTGAGGTCTGACCCATTCATCAGGTCGTCTCGCAGAGGGTAGTCGTTGTAAAAGAGTAAACAAGTGGTTCAGGAACAGTTTGTTCCCTTTTCGTCTTGTAAAGTTTCGAGCATAGAATTCCTGGAGTTACAATATTGTTGCGCAACAGAGCTTGCCTACCAGCAACACAAAACAAACCTGGTCTCACGAGATGCTACTTGCTCTGCTATATGCTGCTCCAGAGACACTCGGTCTTGGTGAGATATTATCACGTTTTGAGGTTCACCTACTTCTAGGTCTTATAGCAAACACCGTGTCGAGACGTTTTGATTTTTTTAGATACATTACTTACAATATACTTAGATGTAGTATATGTCTAACGCCTTGTTTGCTTGGTTTACAAGTCGTACTTTTTCAACCAACGAACAATATTTTTCTCTCACAACAAATCGGTTAACAGTATTTTCAGTCATGGCTTATTAGCCAAACAAACAAGACATAAGTGCATAGCAAATGATTTGTATCTAAAAAATCAAAATGTCTTGCAATTTAAAATAAAGACAGTACTAATGAACTGTACCAAAAGACAAAGGGAGTATTAGTAAACACTGAACACTACCAAAAGGCTGGATACTATGCTGTATATGGACTTTCATATTTGCATTCCGCCGAGTGAAAGACCCAATATGGAGTAAGACTATCTCCAACGAGATGACCTTTGGGTCATGCATAGTGAAAGCATTCCCACCCAAAACCTACCTTTTTCCAACGGTGAGAGCGCAAATCGCCTCCCCGTAGACCTCGGTGAACCGGCGCACGGCGCCATGCATGGGGAAGGAGCCCGCGCTGGCCATGGGAAGAGCTCGCACCGGGCAAGGGGAAGGAGCTCGCGCGCCGCCGGACGGGGGGAAGGAGCTCGCACCGTCGTGGACATGGGGAAGGAGCTCACGCCGCCGCTGGGAAGGACCTCGCGCGCCGCCGGGAAGGAGCCGTACCTACACGCGCCGCCGGGAAGAAGCAGCGGCCGGTGAGGGGGCAGAGGCCCGCACGCCGCCGGGGAGGGGAGGAGTCGGACCTTTCGCAGCCGGATCTGGGACCTCGCGCGGCCGGTGAGGGAGCAGCGGCCGGTGATGGGGCGGTGGAGCTCGGCCGCCCGCCTGCGAACCCGCGCGACCTCCCCTTCCTGGCACATCGGCTGGAGATGCGTCGTGGAGAGAGAACGACCCTTTTTTGGGTTCCCTCTCTCTTCGAAGGCAAAATAGGTAGCTGATTTGCGTACTCGGATGGAGGCATGTTTTCTACTGTGCGTCATGCATTTTGGGTATGGGTACCTTTATGCATAAGCCGTTAGAGACAGTCTAAACTGCATTGTATCCTGAGTTCTTAACACTTTGTTTATGATACTCAAAACTTATCAACTGTGTGAGCAACAGTTAAAATCATCCTAATTTATCCCGGCTAACTCGGTGGAATAATCTTAGTTGTTCCTGATATGTGCCTCATATAAACCCGTACACATATTGCTCGTACAATTAAGTAATCATCATATATACATACATGAGAGAGCAAAAATTTAAATATTTATTAATCTTGCTTAACCTAAATACAACATGTGGTAGCTGTTCGGCTGATGGTTTATGCAGCTAATAAGCTGGCTGAACTGTTTTGTTATGAGAGAAAAACATTTTACCATAGCTGATAAATTTAAGCGAACAGGCGATGAACCCAACGGCTATCCTACCATCCTCCTGCCATCCTCGGCCTCTAGGGTGAGAGAGGAGAGATAAGGAAGAGAGAAGTCAAAGAAAAGAGATGTCGAGTTAACACGTGGATCATATGTACCATAGTCTATGTGAACAAGTAAATTAACATTACAAATTGATCGTACCTCAACTGGTTAGGTTACTTATGGTTTAAATTATCCATACAATGGTAAACGTCATCTTAATGATGAGTGTATGAACATGTATAAATATCTTTACCATATACGCCCTGTTCGTTTGGGCTTATTTGGCTGATAAATTATAGTTGAAAGTACGATTAGCTGATTTGTTGTGAGAGAAAAATATTATTTATTAACTAAAAAAATACAGTTTATAAACCAAAAGAGCCCTAGTGAACAGGGCGCCTAACAACAACCAAATTAACGTCAAATATGGATATATTTTAGTAACATTTTAAAATTTCGGAATATAAATACTACTCTGTTCCAAACTCGATAACCTTTCGCCGGCCACGTGCTCCGCAAGCCCAGAAGAAACCAGCCGCCGCCTCAACACTGGCCGACTCTTGGCTGGCGGCTATCGCGACTTCGCGAGGCGTGGAGCGCACGCGGGTCACCGGGCGGCGCTGCAGCAGCCGCGCAGGGGGCGGCGTCGGTGAGCAGCAGCGCGGCGCGCAGGCGGGGCGCGGCAAGCCGCACGCAACAGCGGCACAGGAGCAGGCGGGCGGCGCGCAGCGGCAGCCGCGCAGGCTGCAGGGGGCGGCGCTCCGTTGAACCACGGCGGCGCAGACAGGGTGTGCCGGTGCGGCAAGCCGGCAACAGGGCAGCAGAGCAGAGCACCCAGCCGGCAACGGAGGAGCAGAGCAGCGACAGGCTAGGTTCTAGGTATAACCCCTATTGCCCCTAAATCCCTAATAAAAGTCATTCAAATGTTCTCTGCGATTGTGATTTATGAGTCGAATGATTGAACATTTAATTAGCAGATTTAGAATTTTAGATTGTTATTTGTGAAGACCTGAAAAGTGTAAATGTCTAAAAGAACTTTGCACACATATTTTTCGAACCCAAGCAATGCTCTAGTGGTACAAGTACAACTCCTGTATTTTTCGAACCCTGTATTTTAGATAAAAGGTTGTGGATCAAATACAATGCATGTTGGTGCGGTGGTGCCTTGCTATTGTTAAGTGCCCTGTTATGATTAGTCAACTTCTTTAAAAAGTGCTTGAACTATATTAATACAATTTCTGTAATTAACTCCTATTTTATTTTACTTGATAATATTTCACTGAGCACTAAAAACACATAAAAAAAAGTACGTACCCAGTGCAGAGAGCTCCCGCTCTGTGCGAGGTCTGGGGAAGGGTGTTAGTGGCAAGTCTTAACCTCGCCTGTGCAATGCGAGGAGACCACGACTCGAACCCGGGACCTTCCAATAACAGGCGGTAAGACTTTACCGCTTACACCAGGCCCGTCCTTCTAGAAACACATAATTTTACATAAAGGATCTGCTAAGATGGATAGTCAAATATCGATCCTAGCATATTACATGTGCTCTTTCTCTTTTTCTATCTAGTTATTAATTTGAGCACTGATTGCTCTTAACTCTGAAGTATTGCATTTTCACATGAAAATATGGTATAAAAACTGGACATGTAATATATAACCATCTGTTGCATATATGCATAAGGATGATTGTTGCTACAGTAGAAAACAATATACTATAGCGTTCACCGTAGTTTGAACTCAGCCCCCCCCCTAAATTTCAATCCTAGATCTGTCACTAATGGCCGCCGCAGCCGTTGCGCCGATGGCGGCCTCCGGCCCGCCGCTCGAAGACTGCCTCCGCCTCCTCCGCGGTGAGCGCGACGAGCAGAAGCTGGCGGGCCTGCTCGTCGCCGCCAACATCTGCCGCGCGGGCGACTCCGACGCCGTCGCCAAGGTCTACCGCGCCGTTGGGCCCCGCTTCCTCCGACGCCTCCTCAGCACTGGTAAGAGACACGTCTAGAAGTGTGCCTTGCGGTTGTCTGGTGGGGAGGTCAGTGGCTTATCGAGTTCTGCTTCGTTGGCGCAGGGTTGGGGAAAGTGGAGGGCGGGAAGGAGGAGGAGCGAGAGGCATACCTGCGGCTCGCCGTCACTGTGCTCGCAGGGCTCGCGCGCGTCCCGGAGGTTGCGGCCGACGAGGGGGTCGTTTCCACTGTGCCCCTAGTCGCCGAGGTTATCACCAAATCGTAAGAAATTTGCTCTCTGTGCTTCTGATGCTTCATACTTAGTACTAATGTAGCAGTACACGTAAAACATTTTTATTAGTATTTTGCAATCCTTGCTAGTTGAATAGACACATGTATCCTGTTTTGAATCTGTTAAGAGCTGAGGCCAACCATTTTGCTATCACTAACTACTTTTAATGCTGTGCTCGTGTTGCATATTTGCTTATGATTGTAGCTACGTCGTGTGCTGCAGGACCGATCCAGCAATCACTGAAGAATGCTTTGAACTTCTGTCACTTATAGCAATAGCTTCTGAAGATGGGGCATACAAGTTTTGTGAGCCTGGTGTAATAGACATGATCTTCCTTCAAATCTTAAGCTTAACAGATGGTATTAAATTTTCTTGCCTGTATCTTGTTGTCAATTTCATTTCTAAACTGCGGTGTTAGCACTGGTGCTTTAGATGCAGATCTTAGCTGCCATATTTTAAATTTGTGCATCTTGATGGGTGCTTTTGTTACTCTGTTTTTGAAACGTGGACTTGAAAGCTTGCCTAAGTGACAAACTCGCATAGCCTGGCATATTTTAAATTTGTGCACCTTGATGGGTGCTTTTGTTACTCTGTTTTTGAAATGTGGACTTGAAAGCTTGCCTAAGTGACAAACTCGCATAGCCTAATGAATTTGGTCTTAGCTAGTGTTTAGCAGTTGTGCTGTGGGTTCATGAATAGCAATTTGTTGGGTCATAACTTGTGAAAAAGGATTACTATTTTGTTTGTTTAATTGGTGTTCAATATAGTTTGATGCTTAGTTTCTTATATGGTTTTCTTGATTATATTGTTTGTAGGTTCTAAGTGCGTAGAACTTGCCATTAACCTAATGCAGTTACTAGTTCATAAACTCAAAGTTGACACTATGAGTGTGGAGAAACTGCAAGGCATGACTAGCATGGTATGATTGATGTACCGGAATGTTTTACATGAATCTTCCTGCATTTTTTGTTTCACCATTCCTAAACTGATCTGATGATTTGATCACCAATTTTCAATGCAATTCAGGTAACTTGCCTTGCCAGGCTTTTTGCTGTTCTTCATACCGCAGTTAAATTTCATGCCCTGCACATGCTTACCACCCTCCTGTCCCAAAAAGAATCTGTAAGGATTACCCTTCCCTTGTTTTATTTCAAGAGTGTTAAACATTTTGTTATGCATGATATTTGATCAATTCCTCCCAATGATTTTTCTTTAATCCTTTATGTTTGTTTTGTTGTTGGAACGCTAAAGCCACTTCATGATTCTTTGAGATCAATACCGGCATCAATTTGGGAATCTCACATTCGAGTTGGAATCACTGCCATTCTCCAAAATCGTGTTGGTATGTCCAGGCCTCATATTTATAAATGATAACATTTTTTTTTGGCAAAAACATTATAGGTTTAGTAATGAGGTGTTTTCTTCATGGATGAAGGCAATAATGCTAATATGTGCCACTTTGTTTCAAGAGCACCATACCTTGATTTATGCTTAGCTACCCATATGTTATCTTGGAATTGTTTGTTTCTTCTGTTTATTTGACTACCTATGGGCCAGTTTGGTAGCGCTCCAAAGCAACTCCCCGTCCCTCTAGCTCCTGCTCCTAGCCGCTCTTGGTCCCCGCATAAACTGTTTGGTAGAACTTTTCGTCGCTCCGTCTGCATGCGACAGCAGCATGGAGTCAGCACACCACCGGGTCGGCAACGGCAAATCAAGTTCCTCCTTGCATGGATCGGAGTTAGCCACCGGCGAATTGTGCTCCTCCCACGAATCATGGTCATCCAGCTGTGAATCGGCAGAGAAGGGCGGCGGGGGAGGCCGAATCAGTGGGGGAGGAGGGTGGCGTGGGAGACGGAGAAGGGAGGGAGAGAAAGGCGGTTGGGGAGGCGAGGTGAGGCGAGTGGTGGGGTAGCGGAGAAGGACGATGGGAGCAGAGCAGAGTGTGGTGAGAGGGCCTTTTCTGCTCCCCACCCATGGCACAAAACGGCAAGAGAACTTCATGCGTGGAGCGGGCAGGAGCAGCGGTGTTTGGGAGCACTCTGCCCAAATCTCATGGAGCGGAGCGCTGCCAAATTTGGCCCTATTGTATGAGGAATGAGTGGCGTACTGAAGGGTACAGGAGTGTAACCTAACCATGCTAGTATATTCTTTCTTTTTGAGATGCTCATGATGTTAAAATGTTTTTGTTGCTGTTCAGTATCCTCTGAAAAGCTGCATGCTCTTCTTCTGGCGGAGTGCATGATGTCCATACTAGGCGAGGATTGGTTGTCAGAAGATTTTGAAGTCCAGGATAACCAAAATGTGTTGCCTGTTGACAAGTAAGTTTCACATATCTCCTGTATTTATTGGGATGTTCCTGTAATTTTTCCATAACAATATGTGATTTTCTACAGATTTGTATTGCTTGTCCTGGAATCCGCAAGGGTTGAAGTGGCAGTCCTACTAAATGAGCTTGCTTATCTGAAGTACGAGTCGTCAAAAACTTCTCAGACAGATGAAGCCGTCAGTCAGAAACAGAGAAACCTGGCTATACTATTTTCATTAATAGAAAGAATAATCAAAATGATATCAAATGCCAGTAGTGGTGAAGGTATGTTTCGATTCTCTTGTCTACTTTTGTTCCATGGACATCAAACCAGGAAGCTTAGAGTCTGTATTTTCTCTGTCAGTGCAATCCAATGATGATAATTCTCCATTTCTGCATCACTAGTCTTTGATAATGCCATTCCATGTACAGAACACACATCAGCATGGAGATGTACGTGCTGATGCAGCACTCTTAAGGAAATCTGAACATTGGGAAAACATTTCCTTGAAGTGCTAAATGTTTTGGCAAAATGATCAGGCCACTGCATGCCAGTCACCACTCACCAGGCAGGCTCATTTGATAACACATTCAATAGTAAAATGGTTATTAGTTCAGTGATTTACGTTATCTACTTTGGGCTCGAAATTTTTTAGTGGTATATGAGTATCAACTATCTGTTGTATTTAGCAATTTAGTTATGTTTCCAAATTGCCCAAACTTCTAGAATACAGTGGCACTAATTTTTGGCATTGCTAGCATCTAAGCTTTTGGGGGTGAAGTTTTATCATTTCCCTTATATTTCCTAATTCGTTACCTCAAGCTTTCTGTTTCTCCTATCTTTCTGTCGAAGTCGGGAGTCATCTCAATGGCTCATAGAAAGTCTACTAAGATAGTAAACTGTATGCAGGTGCACCAATTCAGACCATCCGTGAAAGTACCATAATGCAGGCCATTACGGGATTAAATGAGACAATCAGTTTAGTCTTAGACTTTCTGCAGGACGCAAAGGTACATATTGTTATCAACCAAATGTAACATTCGTATTGTAAGATAATAATATCTTGAAGATGAAAATGTGACAGGATCATGGTCAACAGAAAGGTGATGATCTTTTGGCAGCTGCAAGAATAGTAGGAAGGTGTGCTGCTTGCTCATCTTATTATTCTTTGAGAATTCATGTATCCTTATGTTCCTCAGTTAGTAAATAATTGCTCCTTATCTGTAGCAATTGAACACAGCATGCTGTTCAGGGCCCTTTAGTTGTGACTTCAAAGAAACACTAGTTCATCTGCCTGCCCATACTGCTTGTTGTAATGAATTGTGTATATGTTTTATAACATTATCAACAAAGTTGGCTTTCCTATTATAAAAGCTAAGCTGGTTTTCATCGTTTTGAACAAACGTGTACAGTTTGTCCAATTCATTTTTGTCCATGTGCACAATGTACATAATCTGTTAACCCATGAGCATCTTCAATAGTTCAATGTCAAAGCGTCCAGATCAAGCTTCTGTACAACGTATTTTCCTCTATTTCAATATCACATCTATGTGTTACTCTGTTGCAGTTATCTGGCAGAAGCACCATATGCCTGCAAGGAGAAGACCGGAAATCTATTGGAATTTATCTTTTCTATAGAAGGTCAAGATGAATCAAGGTTGCTTCTTCTTTATTTTGTGCTCACCAGGTGTATATATACATCTTCTTTCATGATGCAAAATATTGATGGTATAGAGTTCTATTCTTGCAACAGCCCCTTCTATTCTATTTGTTTCATGCTTCCAATGCTATCCCAAATAACAATGGAGGTTGATGGATGTAAAACTTTGGCATCATTTGGCGGCTATAAAGCAGTAAGTAGAATTGTTTCTTTTTCAACTTTCTAAAGCTTGATTACTAATTCCATTTGTATTTGTTCCTCAAATGAATTTATCTTCCTAGTCAGCTTACTTTGTTTTGCTTGTTCATTGGTAAGTAGGTGCTTTCTTGTTTTTGCCTGCATGTTACCATCAGTATGTAAAAGCTGCGTGACCTCTGTTTCAAGATGAACATGGAACAGAGATCTCCAGAACCAATGTCTAGCGATTAGAATGATTTATATTATTGTATGGAACTTTATGACTCTAGTGGCTTGTAGCCCTGTAAAGCCAATCAATGTTAATGTGATGTTTAATTGTTTATTGATTGGCATGAACACATGAGATTGCAGTTAACTTCTCAACTATTAACAGAGACATCTTGTTCGGCATAATTAGCACTGTGTATGCTGGGACGTGAACAGCTGATTGTCTGTATTTCTCACTTTCTCTGCAGGTTATAGATTGCCTTGTTAAAATGACTGAGCAGGATGGAATGATGATTGACAATGGTAGCATGTTTTTGGCATCTGACACCATCATAAATTTCATGTCTAATGTAAGTAACTTGATTTTCTGAAAGGTCGTTTTTTTGCATGCCATGGGAAAATTAATTTTTTTCGGTATTTTTGTAGAGGAAGAGTGTCCATATTCCAGTGGATCCTCGTTTCATTCGCCTCCTAAAGGCACTTGTTACATGGGCTGGTATGCTTTAACTTCTTTTCATCTTGCTTAAACATGTATGATGTATCTTTGTGCATCATAGACTAGATGATACCACCCTCTGTCCAAAATTATAGGTCGTTTTGTTTTTTCTAGATTCATAGCTTTTGCTATGCATTTAGATATACGATATTGTCTAGATACATAACAAAAGTTGTGTATCAAGAAAAGCCAAAACGATCTATAAATTAGAACGGAGGGAGTACAATTCTGTGAGGTCGTTGCTAGCCTGTAGTCGTTTCTGTGTTCTGTTCTGGCAACTTCATCACTTTGGTTTAACTGCACAAAAAGAAACCTTGACCACATTATGGCATTATGTTTAATGGATGACTATAACTTGTCAGCACCTAAGGTATGCACCAACATTATAATCTGGAACTAGGCAGACTTCATGAATTATTTCCTTTCTTGGCTCATACAGTCAGATTATCATATCATGAAATTCATGTGCTTCGATCACTGCCTGTAGTGACTTGTGAGAAACCTGTCATCTTTCTCTATATGTGGTGCTGGAATGATAACTTATCCACACCTATTAAGTATTAATTAACATACTAATCAACAGCAAAATTATCCCATGTTTTTTTGGTGTTATTCATGTGAATCAGTCACTATATGTTATTGCTTATAGGAACCACAGATGCCTCATCAGTTACCATGACAGCATCCTGCTTATGCGCAATGCTGTTGGACTTGACATCAGAAGAGTTTCTATTGAGCTGCTCTCACTTTGATACCAAGACCCTTGGGAGTTTGTCTGAGCTCATTATCAGAAGTTTGCAGCAGGTTAAAATTTAATAGTCTTTATTTCATATTTGGGACTCCTTTATTTATAGGGTGATTGTTCACTAGGACGAAGTTTTATGATACACCGAATATGCTGAATTGCTGATAATATGATGTAATGTACTGCAGGATATCCCAGATGATGACAGGGAGCAATTCAACCAGAAGCAGATCATCGTATCAGGTAAACATGCTAATCTGTTGACTTAAAGTAAGCATTCAATGCACACAAACAAAATCTAACTTTACCCTTTTTTGGAGTATGTGGTGCAGGTTATAGGCGATGGGCTGATCGATTTCCACATGTTAAAAATGTTGTGGAGCAGCATGTATCCGTGTGATCATCTGCTACCCCCAGGAGCTTTTCTCCATGAATGTAAACCAGCAAACGGAAACCTGACAGCGCAACTATGCCCATGCCCAGTTCTGATATTTGGTGGTTCATTCCCTTTACCTGATATTTGCCTGTGACCTGTTGCTGATGTGATTTTGGTTATGGTATCTCGGCTCACGATAATTCAGCAATGGGGGAATGTTAGGTTACATAATTCTCGGGCGGCAGCTGATGAGGTACACTAATGTGGGTCAGAAAGATGGCATTGTTTATCTGGGTAATCCTCAGAAACGAAGCAAGTCTAACGCTGGAATGCTTATGCACGAGAAGGAACAAGGCGGTTTGGGACTAGGTTCCCATCTCGCCTTCACCATTTCTCCATAGTAACATATTTTTTACATACAGAACGTCTATAACAGTACCAAGCTCAATTTCACGGAAGGGGTTTTCATTTATGTTGTTTCGCATGTATAGCGAGATTATATTAAGGGCAGTCCCTTCTAGTCCACTAGTCCAGGATGGTCTGAAAAATATGCCTTTTTTTAGGCAAATCACGATACAGACGTAGAGCGCATGGAACTTAGTTACCACTTGTGTTTTTGTTGTCGATGGGGAAGTCATCTATCATCGAAATAACGCTCTTGGAATAAATTCAGTAAATGTGAATACATCTGTCAAGTTGATGATTTGAACTCGAGTGGATCGGTTTTATCACGAGGAACCTGGCAGCTTAACCTGAACGTTCAATTGGCAAATATGGCTATCTATCTTCCTTGATAGTTGCATCGTCGAGGCGTCGATCCTCGATAGATATAGGATGGCATTGTAGTAGAGAAGCAGAGAATGTATAGAAGCTAGTAAACAACACGTCTCTATTTGGGAGGGAGCTGAGCTAGTAGGAACGAAAGTCGCAAGTTGGGATATATATAAACGTCAAATCAAGGGACGTCTACCCGGGCAGCAAATCCATCGCCATCGGCCTTTTAATTAGTTTGGTGATGATGATTCCAAACCACCGCGAAACACACGAGCGCCCACCGACGGAAGCTCGTGGGTTTATTATGTTTGGCGCTCGGATGGCGACACTGTGTGAGCAGCGGTAGAATCTGTGTTCAGATTTGATGGTTATTTTCACGCATACGTTTAGAATATGAATATCTGCTTGTTGCCTCCGAAAAAAAAATTGTCGTGCAAGCGCTGCAGCCGTAGGCGAATATGATTTTTTTTAGAAAAAGGGAAAAGTTGTTAAATGGAATTATTTGTGTGCCCACTTCTATGTTAAGATAAGACGATAAAGCAACTTGGTACTACTTCTGTGTGAAAGCTATTGAGATGTTCAAACCATAGAGGGCTAACCTGGTGACGCAGTCCGCTCAATAATAATAATAGTAGTAGTAGTATTTGGGAAGCGTTTATCACTATCAAGGGGAGGTGAAGCAAAGCACCAACGTGAATACGTGATGGCGCAAACGCGGCACCAGCAACCGGTTCATTGGGTTGTCGCTTTGTTTATTTAACAGTTATTATTAAAAGTACACTGCTTCTATACACGTTGTACTACTGCTATCCCTTGAGACTTGAATAAAAGTTGGTCTGTCACTCGCTATCCAACTCGAAATAATAAACGCATTTTGATCAGCAAAAAAGTCATGGAAAACAAATTTTGACCCACTAAAAAGTGAATATCTGAGTTGTTTTGAATTTAATTATGTTGATGTAATTGGAATAATAGTTGGTTAAACTTTATAAAATCGAACTTCTTTCGAATTTCAATACGAAATACACGATTATCATTTCAGAACAGAGCAAATGAATAACGCTGAACCCCAAGCCAATAATTTGTGTCGAACTCTTTTTTCTTTATTGTTTTTCGGACTACCCAATTTGCTTTGTACAAAGGAGCCTGAGTTCACACGACTCGGTCCACGCGGCTAATCTATCTACTCGGCGGCCGGCAGGTGCACGCGGCCATCGATCGGATCAGCCGGACAACACGCCGCCGGCGACGGCGACGTACTCGTGCGGCGCCTCCCGCCGCACACGCGCGGCTGCGGTCGCGCTCGCGCCGGCGCTGGTCCCCGCGGCGGCAACACCCCGAGTCCTCGCCGGCTTGGCGCGCCCCGCGCCCTCCTCCTCGTCGGGTTCCGTCGGCGGCAGCTCGGCGCGGCACATGGGGCAGGTGGCCCGGATCCCGAGCCAGGGCGCGATGCAGCCGTGGTGGTACCAGTGCGCGCAGGGCAGCCGCACGACGGCGTCCGCCGCGGCGATCTCCTCCGTGCACACCGCGCACACCGTGCCGGCCACCCCCGCGGGCGCCCGCACCGGCGGCGGCGCCTCCGCGCTGCGGCCACCGGAGGAAGAGGGGGAGGAGGGACCAGGAGGGTCGACGACGGGGAAGGACTCCTCGTCGACGTAGTCCACCACCAGCGGGTTCCGCCCAAGAATCGACGAGAGGAGGTACCTCGCCGTGATCCAGTCGCCGTCGTCCATGATTCCGATCGATGCCCACCCACCCACCCTGTCGTCGTCGCCTGCGCTGTGTCTCTCTCTGCACGTACTAGCACTAGCAATGGTGGCGGTAGTAGTATTCACTCGTTTCCTCTGCCCCGCCTCCGTCTGTTAAATAGGAGTAGGAGTAGCAATCGCTTCGCTTTGCTCCCACCCGCAGCAGGGCAGGGCAGCTGTCGTTTTGTTGACGGTGCAGTGACGGGGACAGGGATGGCAGATAAGAATAAAGATTTGGTTGTCAACTTGCCAAGGTGCTGTTTAGTTCCTAAAATTTTTCAAAATTTTTAAGATTCTTCGTTACATTAAATCTTTTTGGACATATACATGAAGCATTAAATATAAATAAAAAATAAAACTAATTACATAGTTTAGACGAAATTCACGAGACGAATCTTTTAAATCTAATTAAACTATAATTGAACACTAATTACCAAATAACAACGAAAATGATATGGTATTATTTCTCAAAAAAATTAGCCAACTAAACACAACCTCGGCCATGTTTAGTTACACTAAAATCCAAAATTTAACACTATGCAAAAAGAAGATTCCCCGTCACATTAAATTTGCGGTACATGAATGAAGTACTAAATGTTGATGAAATCAAAAACTAATTACACAGTTTGGTTGTATTTTGCGAGACGAAAGTTTTGAGTCTAATTAGTCAACGATTGGACAATTATTACCAAATAAAAAACAAAATAACACTGTAAGCTACAGTGACGCTGCAGTGTTTCAGGCGGCGCAGAGTCGGACGAACTAAACGCGGCCCTCAACTTTCAGCAGCACATGCACATCACATCGGTTGGGGGCGGGAGCCCGGTTGGAGTAGCTATCCCGAGGGGAATTCCCTGTCCGCCGCAATTCTGTGGGCTGCGAGGCGGACGGAGAGGATGTTCCATCTAGGCGTAAAGGTTTCGGTTAATAATAATTCTATGAAACCCGGTTGAGTACTTGGGTTAAATCCGTTATTGAGAATTTGTTAAATGATTCAATGACTGTTTTGAAAAAAAAACTAATAACCGATCAAAATCGGTTTCGGTCAACCGCAAAACCCATTATACTTTCTACAGGGGATAATGCAACAACATAATTATGAAAAGCACCCAACAAAATATGCATCGTGTAATGAAACAAAAGGAAAAGCAACAAAAGAATGCTTCTAACAAATATATTCTCATCAAAATACATTTAAATTTGCAAAATAGATACAATTTTAGTGATTAATACAATAGTCAAAAAGAAATTCGGTTAATGCCGGTTTAAATCCAAATAAATCATAGTTATCGATATAGCCAAAGTCCTCGTCAATAGATCACAAAAATTCTTGGTTAACATTTTTTTCGGTTAAATCGTTTAGTTCGCCTAATCGGTTTCGGTGAAATTTTGCCCACCCTTAACTCTACTCCCTCCGTCCGTGAATACAGGGCGTAACTGATTTTTTTTATAGTCCGGGGAATACAGGGCGGCGGCGGCACGGCGGTAGTTCACGCGCGCATGCAACATCTCCTCGGCTCCCACGCTGCATGCAGTTGGCCGTTACTCACAGCGCATGCTTGTTCTCTCGAGCGAGACTAGTTCTCGATCAGGATGCATCCTCTTTTCTCTAGTGGCCATCTTCTCACTGCATGAGCAAGCAGCATCTTCTTCTGTGAGACTAGTGCAGAATCTAACTTGCGTGCTTGCACCTTAGCTCACAACATTTTTGTGCAGCGACGAAGATGGCAGAGGTGGCTGGGCGCAAGCAAGGCAGCAGCTCGCCAGTGCTCGGCGCATGCGTCGGAAGGCACAGAAGGAGCTCGGCCGTGCTCGAGTGCTCCGTGTCTGCGCCATCCGCATGCGACGGCAAGCACAGGTCGAGCTTCGCCGCGCGCGAGCGCTCCGTCTCCGTCAGCAAGTGGGAGCTCCGCCGTGTGGGAGCTCTGTCCAACACTGGTGGAGCTCATCCGCTCACGATCATGGACGAAAGTGAAGCGGCCGGTGACGATCACGGCACCGACTCTGACAGCATTCGGTACGTTCCAGACTCACTGGCCAGCGACACCTGTGTTCCAGATTCATTCGAGGACATCGAGGAACACTACGTCAAATATGATTTCCAGGGGCGGCTACAGTGCATTTGTAGGGGCGGTTCGGCCAGCCGCCCCTACCATACCGTCTCTACAAATCATGCATTTGTAGGGGCGATTCCCAGACCGCCCTTATAAATCGATTTGTAGAGGCGGCTGGTGTTACCAGCCGCTCCTACAAATCGATTTGTAGGGGCGGTTGGTACTGTAGCCGCCCCTACAAATCGATTTATAGGGGCAGTCTGGAAACACCAGCCGCCTCTACAAATCGATTTGTAGGGGCGGCTACAGTACCAACCGCCCCTACAAATCATTTTTCCGCCAAAAAAATTAAATTTACAATTCACGTTGTTCTCCATACAATAGGCTTTAGAGTCAGAATCAGAATAAGTAAAGCAAGAACATATGAAGAAACATAAATGTAAGTAAA